TTCCTAACTATCCTGTCAATAGTAATAATAGTGAGCAGCTGGATCCTGAGCACTATAGATTACGAGGAAGGCCTTTCATAGGAAGAGCTGAGCTGCCAGCTTCTTTTGGCAAAGCAGCAGCAGAATTTCACCTGTCCAGCAGCTTAGTTTTCTGCCTTTGAAGAGCTTAGTAGTGGCGATGGATATGTGCCACGCCACTGAGAGTTATAGTACCCATGAGATCACCGCCAGACAGATAATCCAGGCCAGAGCTCCCTTTCACTCTGTGGCAGTCCAAATAGCTATTTCGGATCAGATCCAAAGCGGAAGACCTTATGATGGATAGCCCTGTCTCGTTTCCCAAGGCTGCGAAGGTCACTGATCTGTTTGCTTCAACCCGCCTACTCTCAGAAAAGTATGTTTCCTTGTGACACGTCCATCACAGCAGACCTAAATCACAGGCTGTGTGCACATTACCAGCTTAAAAGGCAGCTGGGTTATTCTTTTTCTCGATTCGGCTCAAACCAAGCCTTATGAGGAATGGTTGAAGGAGCTGGAAAAGAGGAGATATAATGTGATGTCACATGGAAGAGGAAACAAGCTTGATTTCTCCAGCTCTGGAGGGTAGGACTCGAACAGATGGCTTCAAGTTACAGGAAAGGAGATTCTATCTAAACATTGGGGGGGGGGGACTTTCTGACAGTAAGAGCTGTTCAACAGTGGAAAGGACTCCCCCGGGAGGTTTTTAAGCAGACATTGGATGGACATCTGTCAGAGATGTTTTAGCTGAAATTCCTGCATTGCAGGGGGTCTGGACTTGGGGACCCCCGTGGCCGTTTCCAACTCTACAATTCTGTGATCTATGATTCTATGAACGCTGATTTGTGGGTAAAACAGATCAACACGCAGCATTCCATCAGAAACAATAGGATAGCTACAGTTTGTGGCTAAAGACACAACGCTTTCCAAACCAGTAGTAAAAGCCCAATGGATGCAGAGCAAACAGGAGCGTGGATGATCAGCGTCTGGAGACAAAGTGTGTTTCGATGCATCACAGGGGAAAGAGAGTTCACCATGCCAACAAAGAACAAGTTCCCTTCTGGAGGGACAGGGCACTTCAGCAGATAAAGGAAAAACAGATATATGTCTATGAAGAGGAGTCCGTTTCTTGTTTTTTTGTACACCTGGAGGGCCACCACAGGCTCCCCCATTCCCATGTTAAAGTCCGCTCCCTCTGTGTGTGGCAGGGAAGACAACTGAGGTTTTGGCCCTGAGAGTGGGGTCCTCACCCTCCCTTTCACGAAGATTTTTCCAGTTTTAATTCGCAAGCACGCAAGTTGTTACCTGCCCTACGAAGGAAAATATACAAGCACAAATAAATGTTTGACATGCAATCGCGAACTTGAAGGATGTTGCCCTGCAGATGGCAAAGCTCTGCTGTGAAAAGAGAGAAGGCTTGTTGAGAAAGAGGCATAGCCCTAATCACAACCCATCTGTTGCCAAAGCAATCAGAAAAGCCACTTGCAAACCTTCTGCAAGTTCTTCAGCCAATGGGAATTTATTTGAACTGTAAATTGAAGCCAAAGTTGCCATGGTGCGCTCTTTTGCCAACAGGCCAGTTGGCTTACGCTAGCAATGTCCATGTGTATACTGTCACTCACAAAGTTGAAATCAGACAAGCAAAGTAACTTGGCCTGAGTTACCTGCATTGCAGGGGGCTGAACTAGATTACCCTCAGGGTCCTTTCCATCTCTGCGATTCACTATGGCTCTTCAAAGTCCTTTTTCTAAGAAAACGGGTTTGGAACGTCAGTTTCAACCAAGGAGGTAAGTAGAACAGCGGATTGTGCAGAAATGTTGTTGGTGACGCTGCTAAAAAAACACACTGTGAGGTGATGTTCAAAGAAGCAAGATGGAGCCTAGATGGAGTCCATCATTAACCTTCCAGTTCTGGTGCGGATGGTTCTCACAGTGAAGCTGTCAAAACCATCACCTCTTGAGGGGGTGTCTCTCTATTCCTCAAATGTAGTTCATAGAATTTATTTCTGCCATCTCATGGAGAATAACCATGCCCACATGGATATTCCTGGTGGCTACTGGCAGGGCTTTGGAGAGTCTCCAGCATTGCCCCACGTTGTATGTGCACTTTAGGTTCCAGCTCGCTGTTTCCACGCAGAATAGTGCCCCAAGTAAGGCTAACCTATGCATCCGCTTGGAATAAAAACTTATGACAGCGCAGCAACACGAAGAGGATTCTGGCTACAGCAAGCTAACGAAATGTTCTCTTGAAGAGGATTAAGTGAGCAGGTTCCACTTCAGATATTCCTGGTCTATTTGGAAGTGGAGAAATGAATGGCATATTAGGGCTGTCTTCCGAGTTGCACTAAATGTGTTTTCTACATGAAGGCCACAGACATTGCCGGATCCCCCAGTACCCGTCAGATGATTTAGTAAGAGGTCAGGGATGAAGGGAGAGAAGCCCAGCAAGGCTTAGGAGAGCCACAAGTTAGCTACTACTTGCTATAGAGCTATTCCTGCCAAATTCAATGGGGCTGCTGCTGTAGAGGAAGTGCTCAGTGTTGTATTAACAGCAACAGAACAGGTAAAACAACTGGTAGAACAGTCCCCAAAGAAGGCAGGACAAATTTCTCTTGCGCAAAGTTTTGCTGACTGGTTGTCAAAGTAAAAGTGTGAGAATAATTTCCCCATTTAGACAGGTTTGACTCATAATTTGTGCTTTGAAGAGAAGAAAGCTTTTTCTTTCTTTTTTAGTTTTAAAAAATTGATTTATATATGCTTGCAAATGTTTGTTTGTTCAGTTTCAATTTGCCATGGAATAAGAAAGAGAAATCAAATCAGTGTGGTAGTGGCGGCAGCTTTTCCCCATTGTATACTTTGCCCTATAACACCCTCTTGTGGTTTATATTTGTTTTGTCAGATACATCCTCTCCTGCCTCAGTAAAATAACAGGAAACCATGCGAATTTCCATTCTGCTTTTGGTATTGGTCTTCACTGACCTTCTCTGAGCAACCAAGGTGCACTGTAAACGCAACATGCTATGTGCATTCATGCTTCCGCTCATAAATTAGTTCCGTTCCATTTAGTGGTTAACCAAAAAGGTTTTAAGCACTCATTCATAAATCACTGAAAACAAATATCGAAGCCATGATGTTCTTTCCTATAGGACCCATCCATCACCAGCCCTTTGCTGAACCACCTTTGCTGCACCAGAACTCATGTTATATGAAATCCCTGGTAGCTTCAAACAACAGCCACATAAGGACACTTCAGATTTAAAAGCAACGTACAGAAAGAGGCAAGGAGTTGAATTGGTGCCCCTATCCGGTCCCTTGCACCCTTGGCAATGAGATGTTGGCTGCTCAAAGCAGCACAGGAGTGGCCTGGGGGAGCTCCTAGCCACTCCGAGCCAGAGTGGAGAGGTGTCATTTTTGTGCCCCCTCCCGGGCCTGCACCCTTAGTGGGGGTCAACCTAGCTAACCCCTAGGTACACCCCTGTAGAAGTGTTAGGGGAGCCATATTTTCAGATGCACTGTCCCTATGCCTTCAGCACCATCTGACCACGCAGAAATCTGGCCAGGTGAAACATCTCCTGGCATGAAGGCAGTGATGGGAAAGGTCTGACCTGCTTAACTGCTGTGCATAGGAGCTGGGCCAATAAAAATGGGCTGGAGGTTTACGTTGGGTTTATTTAATTTATACATTGCTTCCCACTAAAAATCTCCCGCAGCAAATTACACCCAAAGTAAAACATACAATAAAAACCTGTGTAAGCATTATTAAAAAATAGACTTTGCAGCACAATATCATATTGCTGTCCAAATGTCCCTGCAGGGGCAGGGGGCAGGAACACCTTTGGCAGACACCAAAATGATGGCAAGGTTAGGAACGTGCAGGACTCCCTAGGAAGAGCACAAACACAAGTAAAACTCACTCTTGTTCAAGAAGATCTGATATTGGTCAAAAAGTAAACACCTTTGCTCTGCATTAGCTTTGCTATTCGCCTCCAAGGGAAGAGAGAGGGAAGTATCAAAGGCAAGGGGGATTTGCTATGTTTTGTTTCTTAGTTTGATCTTTCTACCTAGTACATCTTTTATACTAGAGGTGGGGAACCTGTGACCCAGATGTCATTGGTCTCCAGTTCCTAACTTCTCCAGTCAGCAAGGCCAATGTTCAGGGATAATGGGAAGTTGGGAGTCCAACACACCTGCAGGGTCACAAGTTTCCCAACATTGCTTTAGACAAAGCATTTAGCAGTTGCTCATCACTTTGTCCAAAAAGCAGCAAATATACAAATCTCACTTGCCCAAGGCAGAAGATAGTTTGTGCACATGTGTGACCCCAGGACTGATATTTTTGTTTCCAGCCAGGTCTTAAATACATACCTTTGTAAAACAAACAGATAACAGAAGCAGAGGATTGAATACCACTACACTACAGCTAAAAGGGAAATTCCTAACCCACAATCAAATGTCTAGCCAAGCCCTCAAGCAGACAAAAGGTACATGCCCTTTTGTCTGTGATGAATATTCATGACAAAGCCAGTCTGGTTTCCAATGGAGACAGTAAACACACTGGGAAAACCCAAGGCTCTTGGGGTGTTTGGTTTCAGCTGCACCACCAGAACAAAAGCTACCGTAGTACTAAGCTACAACAACAGGCTCTCCTTACACAATCAGTGGGCATTCTGGGGATTCCTGAAGCAATGTGGGTGTTAGAAAGGGCAAATTAGTGTGGCTTGAGTTCCAGGAACAAAAGCTTGCTACGGACCACTGATAACTCAGAGCTTCCAACAGCAGCATCTTTAGCTTAGAAAAATATTACCGTACGGAATCTTGCCTCCATGCAGTGCACAGATCTAGCTTCACAACACAACATTGTTAGGCCATCCAGTAAGTGTGCACAAACCCAAACAGGAAGCCTGCAGAACCTCTTCAGACATGTTGCGTGCTGGACACCAGGGTTTCTATTTGTTTCGCTTACCTAATCAAATGCCTAAGGGAAAATGCTGGGTAAGGAAAACTGTGAATGCTTAGGGACTTGCTAGCACTTGCTCAAGCTTCTTGGGGGCTGGTGACCCAGTATTGCTTGGCAGAGAAAAGCTCATACAGGATGGGGAGCAGAGCAAATGGACTCAGGAGGACAACGTCGGCAGGCTTCCGGTCACCGGCTACCAGCCCTGCAGATGTGAATTTAGCCTCATCTTCGTCTCCTTCACTCAGCAGCAGCCAATCTGCAAGGACTCTACTGGCTACCACACAGAGCTCGGTGAAACAATCAAGCAAAAGCCGTGGTGGAGAGGAGCAAGAAGCCCTGAAAGCAGACCAGGTCCGGCAGGACACGGTCTGGAGAGAGTTTGTGGAGGCCGAAAGAAGGGCGACGAAATATTGGTGAGTAACCCAATAATAATAATAACAATAACAATAATAATGTATTATTTATACCCTGCCCATCTGACTGGGCTTCCCCAGCCACTCTGGGCGGCTTCCAACAAAATATTAAAATACCGTAATGCATCAGACATTAAAAGCTTCCTTAAACAGGGCTGCCTTCAGATGTCTTCTAATTTTCAGGTAGTTGTTTATCTCTTTGACATCTGATGGGAGGGTGTTCCACAGGATGGGTGCCACTACCAAAAGGCCCTCTGCCTGGTTCCCTGTAACTTCGCTTCTCGCAATGAGGGAACCACCAGAAGGCCCTCAGCGTTGGACCTCAGCGTCCAGGCAAAGCGATGGGGGTGGAGACGCTCCTTCAGGTATACTGGGCTGAGAACGTTTATGCACAACCGTACTCCCAACTCATGTCTGACCTTGGGTGGGCATCCTGGACTTCCACGACAGATGGGGAGTTCGTCCAGGCTTCGGCTCATTCCACAGCTTTCCCCTGGGGAAAACACACCATTTGCCACTCAATCAGAACGAAACTTGCAATTGGTTTTTCTGCAGATTAATGTTTGTTCTGATTCAGCGGTAAACAGTGGGTTTTCCCCAGGGGAAAGTAGTAGGGACAAGGAAAAACACATTCAGAAAGCATGGGATAATTGGGAAATGTCTAGGACTCATGCTTTCTAGGCACAGGACAAGCAGAAGTGCGGATGGGTCATGAGGCTGCAGTCCAGCCCCCCTTTGTGCCAGGCCGGGGTGTGTGTGTGGATTGGGCAGAAGTGCCTCTTTGCCCAGTCCAGCCTGTCCGCTGGCCAGCGTATCTGCAGATGCAGTGGTGGCACAGCTGTTTTGTCACAGCCTCCCACTGCCCAGCTGTACTGTCCTATATTACTCATTGGGACGAGGGTGGCACTGTGGGTTAAACCACAAAGCCTAGGACTTGCCGATCAGAAGGTTGGCGGTTCAAATCCCTGTGACGGGGTGAGCTCCCGTTGCTTGGTCCCTGCTCCTGCCAACCTAGCAGTTCAAAAGCACATCAAAGTGCAAGTAGATTAATAGGTTCCGCTCCGGCGTTTCCATGCGCTGCTCTGGTTCGCCAGAAGCGGCTTAGTCATGCTGGTCACATGACCCAGAAGCTGTACGCCGGCTCCCTCAGCCAGTAAAGTAAGATGAGCACTGCAACCCCAGAGTCGGCCACGACTGAACCCAATGGTCAGGGGTCCCTTTACCTTTTATATTACTCATTGTGGGTGCCACTGTTATAATCTCCGTCTCGGTGCATTTGCCTATTGTCTTGTTCCTTAGGGCTGCTGCTTTGTACAAAACATATTTGCGACATATCTCTGTAAGGGGGAAAAAGCAAAGACAGGGGCCGAATGGTTGTATGCACTTTGCCTCATGTGAAGAATATTTAGTGTTTGGGGGAAATGCAGCATTGGAAAGACCCCTTTCATATATATCATGAGCACTCTGGTAGAGGAGGCAAGGAGTTTCTTTTTCCAACGGTATGTTTGCACCAGGGCCAGCAAGATTCTAGAGCTTCTCACACAATGGTAAATTCAATGCTTATTCCATTTCATGGCAAATGAAAGCTCTCTGAGAGAAAAAACCTCTCTTGTTTTTGCAGGCTTTTAAGAACTGGGGTTACCGATTGCTCCAGCCACTCAAGCATTACGCCAATCCTGTGCTGCCTTTTAAAAAAAAATTTGCGGTAACAGCATCAGTAATAATAGCATGGTAATAGTTTAATAGAACATAGGCATCTGGGCCAGTGGTTTCCCCACACCCACCCCTCTTCAAACTCTGCTCTAATTGAAAGGTTTATTCCTGAAAGACAGTGTGACCACAATTACACACGTGTTCATGCAATATGAAGAAGGACATTGGGTGTATTCTAAGGCAGGAGAGGGTGGAAAGAAGATTGGGATCCATTAGGAGATTTTTGAAGTATGCTTTGAAGTACATAGTTCACCAAGCATTTCTGACTTCCTTGCTTTTTTTTTTTAACCAAGTGCAGCAGCAAAAGGGCTGCCCCCACAATCAAAGTGGAGTGTATGGCTACCCAATTTGCATCAGTCCAGATGTAAATGTGTACTTGTATAGCAGGTCATTCCAATGTATGGTCCATGAGGTGCAACAGGCAACCGGCTCTGCCCCACGAACCACCATTTTGTACCTGGTTCCGGTTAGCAGACCTTGGGGTAGTAGTAAAAAAAAAAAAAGCATATCACACATAGGCATGCCCTCTAACCGTGCCTATTGTAGAGTTAAAGGCTCCTGCACCTTTAATATATGTGTAGAAGAGGGAATTCCAGCAGGTGCAGCTTGCATGAGACCAGCTGAAATTCCATCTTCTACGCAACCATTAAAGCAGCAGGAGTTCTGTCTTCTTTTGCATCTGCCCCCCCTAGGTGTGTGCAGGTTTAGAACACATAGGGGCTGAGATGAGCAGTTTTCAATTCAAGAAGCCAATGGTTGGCCTACTCTCAGCAGCCAGAAACATCATAGTCAGACACTGGAGAGACCTGTCAGGAGTAAGCATGGACCAATGGTACCAAATAGTATGGGAAACAGTCTTATTAGAAAAAACTAATCTATAAGCTGAAACTGACATGGGGACAAATGGAAGAAGACGCCTTCACCCCGGTATGGCTCCCCTTTATCACAACATAGCCCAACAAGACAACAACAAGAATCCAAACAGCACACGAATCGATATGGCTAACCTGATTCAAGAACACACACACCCCACTCACACATGAAAACAAAGTTCACCACAGCCAATCACAAACAAACAACCACACCCTAGGCCAACCCCAACCTCTCTCACCACTAAAGGAGCACAAGCAAATAGCAAAAAGAACCTGCACAAGCAATGCTGATACAAATGTTTAATGTTTAATAGGTTATTGTATTTTAATATTCTGTTGGAAGCCACCCAGAGTGGATGGGGAAACCCAGCCAAATAGGCGGGGTATAAATATATTATTATTATTATTATTATTATTATTATTATTATTATTATTATTATTATTATTATATTAAAACCCCACACATACATTAAATAAAATAGAAACATCGCCACCGGACCCCACCCCCACTCATCATGCCCCCCTCCACCTCTTCCCCCCTTTTCTTCCTAATGTAACACCAATGTCTCAACAAATGAAACTGATCTGTAGAAAATGTAACTTGGAAAAAGAGACACTGCACATACTTTTGTAAACAAAGAAGTCTTTAATAAAAAATACGTTAAAAAAAGAAGAAGCCATTGGTTGGAGCCAGCCCTATAGTTATGTCTTTATTCTAGTCCTTTTAATGCCATCTTTAATTTCGGAACATCTGGCATCACTATGCTTGGCTAACAAAACTAAAGCACTCTCTCTTTATTATTCCAAAGGTACCGGAACTGGAGTTTCTTAAAGGACTACGATCCATTGGTAAGTCAAAGGCGAACACCCCTGTTACAAAAGGGATGAGGAACTTCAGGGTGGTATAATTAAGATATTCTTGCCTTAATCATGCTTGTTCGTTTCTGTCTTCTGCCCCCCCCCCCACATGCAACAATGGACCCTAGCAGGGGTCCACAAACTTTGGAAGTTTTTGGTAGCCAGGCAAACCTTTGCACACCAATGCTCTTTCCTGCAAAAGGTCAGGGAGTGATATGTTCTCATGTTAAGCTTGGGAGATGCTCTGCCTAAGTGCTGGCAGAGTACAGGAGCAATGCCTCCTTCCCATAAACATGCAGGGATTGCATGCTGAGCACAAGGTCTCAGAGATTTTCTTGCCCTTCTCCATGCTTGGGTCATGGCTGGAGGGAGGACTCACCCAGATCTTTTGTTAGCTTATAGTTCCCAGTCTCCCATCCAAGGAAGATAGGAGGCTGCTTTATAAAATGACAGACCTACTTAGCTTCAGCAGGGAAAAACTGCCTACAAGTCCCTATCACTGAGCAATTCTCCTTTCTCTTAAAAAGAGTTTGTTTTACTCTTGTTTGTCTAGGTTTCTTAATTCATACTCATTTTAAATATTATTCAAATTCTATGCATGGTACCTTGCTGTCAGAAGAACATCAAAATCTCACTGCTTTCTGAGATGAGGCTGATGAGATTTCTGCACCCTTCTTCCAAGCACAAAAAAGATATGACTGCAAAGGGAGAATTGTGGTCACGCTTAAGAGGGTGCTACCAATTGTCTCCTTTGCAGCATGGTGACACCAGGTGATTGACAGGTGAGGAGCCCCACTCACACCTGTTCATGTGGCCTGCAGGATGGTGGGGGCATAAGGAAGAGAATTCTATATCTGGCCCACTAGCTGAATCTGCCCACCTGCCTAAGAAATTTCTGGGAACTGAGGTACTATAGGATATAGATGCCACATTACCAGTTATCCAATTTTAGTTCATATGTTGAAAACCGGTCTGTAAATACTTGGAAAAAAGAAGTAAATGCAATATTTACAGAAGCATTTTCTGTTTGTTTGAGGCAAGCTCACATAACTTGACATTTCTTTTACCCAGGGCAGGATAAAAGAACCTGAGCAGCTTCCTGAATACATGTCAGTTTTCTCAGACAAAATTCCCAACACCAGCGGACATGTTATTGGCAGCAGAATGAACACAGATCTCGGCAAAACACTAGTAAAAATGGATTACTTCCTCAACTATGGAAGAAGAAAAAATAAACTTGGACAGGAACTCCAGGCTTCCTAGAATCAGAAAAAAGAATTCTACTCCCCTCTTTTAGAAGAGGAACTACTGCTCTAACTACAACCACCTACAACCAAAAACAATAACATACTTTCTCTCTCTCTATATATATGCCATATTTCCAAAGGCTAGTTGAAATTCTATCCAAGTAAGGCATTTAGTGATTTCAAAGTGGACACCTGAGAACATGCGGATCACATTTAATATTTTTAGTTTCAACGTTTTAAGAAGTTTATGCAGCTGAATCACATTCCAAAAGCTTAATCTGTGTTGAGTTATGTTAGAGAACCAGGAGGTCTATCTTTACCAAATCTGTCATATTTTGGCAGCTTATATTTGCTCTATGAAAAACTATGAGCCGTCTACATTATCTGCCCACAGGCAGTTGCCATCATTATATTATATTCATTGCATCAAAGAGAACCAAAACAACTTTCACAGTGATATAGTGACCTGTGAAAGGACATGAAATTTAACAGCTATGCAAGTGAGAAATGATTTCATTCAAGGTTACAGTTTGTTCCAAATTTGACCTTGCATTCTGCCTAAGTTGTTGTGGGGAACAGAAAGCAGTCGTGACCTCCTAGCAGACAGTGCTGGCCAGAAGGCTGGCTGGCAGCTTCTGAGCAGATTGTTAAGAAAGCAATTTGCAACGATTTTGTACAAGATCTTCAGAGCAGGGAGAACCAAAGCTGTGCTTTCCCGATGTTTGCTGGACCGCAAATCTCATCAGCCCCAGGCAGCAAGAATAATGGGAGCTGGAGTCAAACATCATTTGGAGGGGACCCTGATCTAGAGTCCTAGGACATTATTTGAAGGTCCATGAGGCCACCACTTTGCTGAAGGTAAGCGGATCTGGATCAGCCCAATGCCTGGATGGGAGTCTGACTGGGAAATAAGAGTCATGGAAGATTGGCTGTACAATGAAGGGTGAGTTTCTCTCAAACGAAAAAAACATGGATTGCTTCTACGTATCTGCAGCCTTCAGCACCTATTGACTACAACTTCTCTTTACCCTGTAGTTATAGCTCCTTTATGAACTATCACCAGTTCACCATCTTTCTTACGCAAAGTGGTCCAGAACATTACATAGCAAAGATCTGGTGGTGCCAAACAGGGGGTGCTTTGAGTGTACAAAGGCAATCCCTCTCACTGAGAAAAAGTTTCAGGACAGGTCTGTGGATGGGCATACCCAATCAAAGACTAGGATAGTCCCTGTTGTGTCCAGTGCTGGAAGTGGGTGTTTAAGACTGAGCTGAAGGCCTGATGCGCAATGGCAGAAGAAACTGACCTGTTGTCCAGATAAGGACAGAAAGTGAAGATCCTGGAATCGATAATGTCAAATTAAAGAGCTTAAGAACTCTGCCCTTCCTAAGCAACTTAAAGGAAGCTGTGTTGGCCTATGAAGTGGGTGGGGGAATAATACACTATCTTGAAAATGGCGTAACTTCTTGTACTTTTTTATTTCTTCTCATCCCTGCCCTGCACTTTGTGTAATGTCTTGACAGATGAAGAGTTCAGGAGAACTTGAAGGCTTGCCGCTATGTTATGGAATTTTGGTTGGTCCCAATAAAGGTAACGCCCAACTGTGGGTTTTGAATTCCATTCTCATTCATCCACTTCTGTTCACACACATGAAAAAGAAGCCCCCCCACCAGCATCTAATTGCTGGTAAACTACACAAATTATTGCCTAGGAAACTACTGGAAAGCAGAGGAAAATAGAGAGTCCTAAGGGATCATTTGGCAGAGGTTTTACGTCCTCCCAATCCCAGCTGACTGAATTGATTGGACCCACTAGGAAAGAATTGCCACTGGCTTCCTGTTGCTGAAGCCCTTTTGTGGGAACCAATTGTCCCTTATTTAAAATGCTTTTCAAAAGCACTCATTTACAACTGGTCATGTACACTACAGCTGATAGAATTCAGCATGTGACGGACCATACTTGTCAAAAGAGTAATAGTACGAGAGTGACTCATTCAATTCAAGCTGGATCCTACCATATTGCAGCTAGAGAAATCACTGAACTGTTAGGCTGGGGGAACCAGTCTCCTTCTACATCCACCTTTGTAGGTTAGGCTCAAAAGTACACAGTACAGTGGTACCTTGGGTTAAGTACTTAATTCATTCCGGAGGTCCGTTCTTAACCTGAAGCTGTTCTTAACCTGAAGCACCAATTTAGCTAATGGGGACTCCTGCTGCCGCCGTGCCGCCGGAGCACGATTTCTGTTCTTATCCTGAAGCAAAGTTCTTAACCTGAAGCACTATTTCTGGGTTAGCGGAGTTTGTAACCTGAAGCGTATGTAACCTGAAGCGTATGTAACCTGAGGTACCACTGTATTGAGTTAGCACTGAAGGAAAGTCACCATTGTTATTTACAAGGGCGTTTCCCAGTGTGTTTCCCATGAAACAGTAAACCTGAATGAAAACCCAGAGCAGATGAACTAAGGTATTTACTCTAGCATAAGTAAGTTGGTGTTTTGTTTTGTTTTTTGTTTCGTTTTGTTAACCAGTGTATTGACGTCTCAATGAATACATCAAACGGCTTCCTGTGATGAGGAACATCTACATTTGCAATGTGTTGGGAATCCTGGAAAGGAGCCTTGAAATAAATTTTCCCAGCATCAACTGGCTCTGCCTTCTCTTTATCACTTTGCTGTGGGGTGCAAACCACTTTCCAGTTGCACCCGTGTTGATCACACCATTGGCCTGGGAAGCCAAGTACTGCCTACCTGACTAAGGGTAGCTCTCCAAGATCTTGGGGGAAATGCCTTCCGCAGCCCTGATAACCCCTATTACCTGGGGTCCTTGTAAGGGATATGACAGCGGTTGAACCCATGACTGAAGCTCTGTGCCTCTTATAATGGCTTCATCCTTTTCTGCCAGCCAAGATCTCAGAAAATCCTGAAGATAGTTTTATATTGGACTCGAAGGCTTGGTGAGACTCTGTGAAGAACAAAACACTTTGGAGGCTACGTAATGGTGATGTTTTCCTTCCTGACTAATTGAATACAGAATAAATAACACTTTGTTCACAATCCTAAAACCACTTAAGATAATCACACAGAATTCAGTGATGTTGCTACTGAATGTGCAGAGACTACAACACAAAATACTTAGCGACCTGCAGATGGCACTCAAGGCTGACTTATTAAAAAATGTAGAGATTTTCTATGTTAAATCGTTTTTATTAATTTTCCAATAAAAAACATCCAGTTAACACATCAAATCATAATCCACTTAAAATAAAAAACTAAAATAAAAAAGACCAAATTATCATCCAAATTATAATTTTTCGGGACTTCCCATAGTCTGGACCTTGAAGCATATCTCCAAATCTTGATCCTGCTTCTCATTTCCATGCAGCACATAGGTAGCAATATAGAAAGTGTTCAGGATTTTATTTCTGTTTTCATCTTATGGTCCGGAGGAAATCAATTGTGCTGATAGGTCTTTGAACCTAATCACCTTTGATAACAACACTACTTACGATTTCTGTTCAGTGAACAGGTGCCAAGAAGCATCAAACAAAATTATTCAGAACATTCTTCTAAGTACCTTTTGGTTCTTCTCCCCACCCCCAAAATAGTTTAAAGAGCAATCCTATATGTGACTTCTCAGAAATAAGTCCCATTGAATGGGGTTTACTCCCAGGTAGACAGGCACAGGACTGCACCCTTTGGCACATTTATAGTCAGTTTTTGTTAATCTGCGGTTGAATTCGCACCTCTGCACCCCAGTGGCTAAAGCACAACCAGTAACAAGGACCATGAGCTCAAGACTGTAGTTGAAATTAATTGATAGGTTTTCTGACAAAATACAGAACCATCAAATAAATAACAGCATGAACCTGTATTGCCTGTTTCTTACACAGTGAACTTCCTTGACTGGTTTTCCAATATGCTTCTGTGCTATCATAATTTAAGTTCAAGTTGTTATTTGTTTGATAATTTTGCATTTTTCACTATATGTCCAGAAGCCCATCAATTCATTTCAATATCAATTTATTATGTCAGGCAACAACTCCCCCCCCCCACCATGGCGCTTGGGCCATGCTAGCTAGGGCTGATGGGTCACAGGGTCCACAGGGTCTCCCACCACTATAATAACTTTTTCATGTTAGTCATCTTTTTCTCCTTAGTCATCTTTTTCCCAAACTGCAAAAAACGGGGCTTCCAACTCTCCCTCATAAGGAAAACAGTTCAGCCTTTGGGTTTCCCTTTTCTGTTATAAACTGGGGAAGGTTTTTTATTTCCTTGTTATGGATTAGCAGTCCCTGACCCCTTAAAATTCAAAACAATAACTCCCAAACAAACCATCCAAACAACCAACAAACCAAGAGTCATGTTAAGTTGTGGGTGAACATATCAGACGACACAGCGATTCTTCAAACAGCTCTTGTTTATTCACAGGCCAGAACAGAACTGAACTGAAGGGTTCAGCCAGCCTGCTTATATAGAGCTCCACTAGAACGCAACAGTAACCATTTTCTGTAACTATCCAATCACTGAACGTCACTTTCAATCCCTTATTTGCATATGTGGACCTGAGTGAAAACTATCTACAGTATCCCCCTGCTGGCCCAGGGAGAGAACTTCAGTACATAACAAGTTAGCCACAGGTGGATTTTGCTAGCCTGTTCAGATACAAAATAAGCTATGGAATACGCAGTTGTTAATTTATTTAGGAAAATAAATGTGACATGTTGGTTATAATTACTGTGCTACACAGGCTGAGGACTGTTCTTGGTAATCTTCCGAAGACAAATGTAAGTGTACCAAACTATTCCATCAGTTATTGGTTTAGTCATTTTTTAAAAAAGAGAATAATTTGATTTTAAGTATACTACAGACATGCTCACGCAAGCAGGCAATATAAAGCTTGTGGAGAAAGAACAGACTAATCTGAATGAAGATCTTTTCGTTCAAAGGATATAGCTCTTAGCTGTAAAGTATTGCGTGGGGGAATCAACAGCAGCAGGAAGTGAAGATTAAATGATGCTAAGGAAAAGCTTTCACTGCTCTAGCTTTTAAATTACATATAATGTTAGCAGTAATCCAGCTCTGTGACTAATGTGCTTTTAAGTACTGCTGGCTAAAGATCAGCAAGGAAGGAAAAAAGCAGAGAGCACCACCCCTGTGCATGTATAGTAAAGGCAACAATCTGTGTATTGTTTTCCTCAGTTGCTATTTGGCCAGGCAAGCTGGGGCTCTGGACCTCACATGGCTTGTGAGTTGCAAGCTGCTGCGTCTTCTTCTTTGGTGGTCACTGTCAGATTGTCTTCCATGAATATGGTCTTAAACAGTGAGCCCGTAAGTGACTGTGGAGGCCAATTCTGGATCCGTTCATCCTTCCACAGTGGGGACATAGGTTTCCAGGCAGGAGCTGATCACGGTGAGGGTTTGCCAAACGTGCCTTCGTCTTAGCTCATTTCTCCTTTTCGTCCTGAGTTCGTGCTTCTTCAAAGTCCACAGCACCTTTTGGTAGAGGCTATTCTCCAATTGGGACGTGGGTGGCGCTGTACGTTAAACCACAGAGCCTAGGGCTAGCCGATCAGAAGGTCAGCGGTTCGAATCCCTGCGATGGGGTGAGCTCCCGTTGCTCAGTCCCTGCTCCTGCCAACCTAGCAGTTCGAAAGCACGTCAAAGTGCAAGTAGATAAATAGGTACCGCTCCGGCGGGAAGGTAAACGGCGTTTCTGTGCGCTGCTCTGGTTCGCCAGAAGCGGCTTAGTTATGTTGGCCACATGACCCGGAAGCTGTACGCCGGCTCCCTTGGCCAATAGAGCAAGATGAGCGCCACAACCCCAGAGTCGGTCACGACTGGACCTAATGGTCAGGGGTCCTTTTACCTATTCTCCAATTGGAGCGCTTGCAGGCCAATGTTTCCCAGTTGTCGGTATTTATACTACATTTTTAAAGATTTGCCTTAAGAGCACCTTTGGAAGATAATAATCAGGCATCTAAACAGCATGACCTGCCCAATAAAGTTGATGTTGAAGAATCATTGCTTCGACACTGGTAATCTTTGCTGAACTAGCACATTACATTAGAAGCCTGGCTGCAACAGACAGCCATTTGCAATCAAAGGTGGCATCAGGCTGCCCTTCCATTTCAATAAACACATCCATGTCCCACTAGCTGCTTTAGCAAACATATGTAATCTAAAGCCAAATCTTATGTTTCAAGCCAAGGAAAACGAGATGGGGTAATTGAAACTATGGGAACATCATAACCGTGAGTGCTCAGAGGTCCACTAAATTCAATGGAGCTTACTTACAGATCAAGCAGGGTTAGGATCTACAGTCAGATTTGGGGAAAGTGCAGGGCTTAAGTGGGGGCAGTGCAGAGTCACACAATCCTGAGGTTTTGAATTCCAGTCCTAGCACGCGCAAATAAGGCTGGGCTTCTAAGCATGTGAAGACTACGGTTCTCTCAACCAGCCTCCCCTTGTTTTCCTGAATGTTCCAAACCAGACAGTGAGGATTCCAGACATACTTGAGTCCCAATAAAGCTATGGTGTGTCACTGCAAATGGAAATGTGTCTGGACTGTACTCTAGGGTTGCCAAATAACAAGGTGAAAATACAAGCCCAGTATATTCCCATCTCCAACAGCAAGCAGGAAGAACCTGTGACCTTTCAGATGTGCTAGTCTATGATTCCTACCATCCTTGACCACGGGCTGTGCTGAGTGGGGCTGATGGGAGTTGTAGTCCACCAACTTCTGAAGAACCACAGGATTACCTGGGAAACAAATCAGAGACAGCCAATGTGGCACTCTCTGTATCATTTTTTTGGCCTACAACCCCCATAATTCCTGACCATTAGCTAAGCTGGCTGGCAATGATGGTGGCTGGAGTCCAACAATATATGGGGGGCCACCCCACTGGCTATTTGACAGACAGCGTTAGGTGGAAGCCCTTTACAGTGCAGAAATATACAACACTGCAAGCTAGCATATACTCATCAAGCTGTTGTTAAAACGCTTGAGCTTACAGTGACTAGCTGAGTACTCACGTGTTTCTCCTCAGACTTGAGTTGTCTGATCCTATGCAACAGCATGCTCATTTGGGGATTTGAACCCTGAACTCCCAGGTCCTAGTCCGGCTCTAACCACTACACCACACTGTCCTCTTAGAGCACTTCTGCTATGGGCAGCTATATAAATTAAGTAGGTAAATAAATGCGAGAAAAGCAAAATGTCACTTAAGAGAAGGATCTGAAATATTTTCCTTGAAGCTTGACTTGAGTTTGTTTTATTCTGGGTTGTTTTATTTGAAGTTTTAATGTTTTGTAAACCACTTTGAGATTGTTTCTTTAAAATATAAAGTGGTATAGAAATGAAATTATTATTATTATGAATAATAATATGAATTATTATGAATTATTATTATGAATAATAATAATATGAATTATTATGAATTATTATTATGAATAATAATAATAATAATAATAATAATAATAATAATAATAATAAATGCACATAATAGGCTTGCAACCCAAGTCTGCAGCCCCATACACACTTTCCAAAGCAGTAAGATCACACTGGGACTTACCTCTGCATAAACATACGAATAATTCTGCAAGTTGTGCGTAACTTCCAAAGTTGCCTTCTTTTTCCCCCTCTAGAACTCCTCTGCTGACTGGCGAAAAAGAAATTCAACAGGTGCAGCTTAACAGGACAATTGGAAAAACATAGCCGGTTGGATATTTGTTTTGCCGTGAAACACATAAGAACCTGTGAGGTGGGGGAAGGAGTACAGTGGTACCTCAGGTTACATATGCTTCAGGTTACAGACTCCGCTAACCCAGAAATAGTGCTTCAGGTTAAGAACTTTGCTTCAGGATGAGAACAGAAATTGTGCTCCGGCGGCGCGGCGGCAGTGGGAGGCCCCATTAGCTAAAGTGTGCTTCAGGTTAAGAACAGTTTCAGGTTAAGAACGGACCTCCGGAACGGATTAAGTACTTAACCCGAGGTACCACTGTAATGCAACTGAAAGAGGGTAAGCCCTGCTTTGCATCAGGTGATGTTGACAACAGTTGTTCCCAGTGCTTTTCTTTAAAACGGTACTAAGAACGAACCTCTTTTCTTTTGCAACCATTTTGCAAAAGGCGCTTTGATCAAGCACGGGCACCTCATTAAAACAACAGCAACAAAATGGACTTTAAAAAAAAATAAAAATCACTGGGTTTTGCCAACTGAATAACAAAACAGCCTGCTTTTTTTGCGGCAGGGCGATGCGAAGGAGTTAACTCGTGAGGCTTCCTCCCCTCCTCCTGTTGTGGGCGCGGCCTTTGAATCTCGGAATAGGATTTTTCGTTTGCATCTGCGCCCTCGCCAGAATTCATTAAAAACAAAAACTAGGAACAGCTCTCGGGGGGAGGGGTAGATACACTACTACTGCACTATTATCACTAGTAATAATAGTGAGGGGTAAAGGTGTGTGTGTGTCTCTGTGTGAGGAATAACAATAATACCTTTTTGCAATCCGCGCGCGCCATTCAAGCGGAGAAACAGTCGCCCAGGGCGCGCCGCCTTCCCCCCCATCTCTCCTCCCACTGGGCGTTTTCCTTCCCTCGCTCCAGGGCGGCGGAAGACGAGCAGGCGGCGGGGGCTGAGGTATCAGCAGCATCTTTCGGGGGCGGAGGAAAGGGGGCATCGCCATGGGGTCGGAGTCGCTGCTGCTGGACGTGGCCAACTGGAGCACGATCCTGGTTTGCGGGGTGCTCAAAGTGCCGCAGGGAGCCGCCTTGCTGGCTGCCAAGTCCGCCCGGGGAGTCAGCCTGGAGAGTTTGGTGCTGGAACTGAGTGGGCAAGTAAAGGGATCTTTTTAAGTTCTGGGGCTTCGTTTTTCTCTTGGCTTTCGGAAGAGGGAGAACTCCCGTTTCTTTCTTGAGAGTTTCCTGGCGCTAAAGCACGCGAGGGGAGGGGGAAAGCACTCTGAACACGCCCAGAGGCAAGGCACTCCCGGTTATGTTTTCATTTACTGAGAAGCTTTCAACTCAAGTTGGCACAGGTCGGGTTCCCGGGCGGGTCTCGCCTTCAGGCGCTGTTTACTCTCAGGATTACTCAACTGCATTCTTGCATTTCATGGGGTCAGACTAGATGACCGTTGAGGAACCCTTCCAACTCCACAATTCTGTGATTGCTGTATCATGTGTGGCCTGCCTCCTACCGGATGATTCAAAAGTTCCAGGGCTGAGCCCGTTTTTGAAAACGGAAGAGAAATGTGAGCCCTGGCTCCTGTTTTCAAGAGACGTAAACATAGCTTTAATTTGCATGATGGCCCCCAAACGGCTTTTGTTTTCCTTCTTTGGGCAACTTTGAAATAAATAAATAAATGAACTAACAAGTAGTATCATTGAGCATGTGCAGATTTCATTCCCTGTATCGCAGACTGGCTCCAGGTAGCCTCTTCTATACAGTATGGATTGAGCTCTCTGGAGCAGCAGGTGTGGTTTTCCCACAAGGCCCAATGTATGTATTTTATGTACAGTATTTAAAATATATGGTCTGTTTTAATAAATCTCTTTAAGGTTGGGTGGGTACTTCTAAGGTTGTTTTGCACAGAATAGTCGCCTTATTCCAGTGTTGTGGACTTTACAACCACAGCCCTGCTAATAAAACACAGAAAGCAAAAACAGCAATAATAAATCATTAGCTGTGTGTGTGTACACACTGTACCTATTAACCACAAGTGAAACATTCTTCCTCTCAAAGAATTCTGGGCGCTGTAGTTTCAGGATTGCTGGGAAATAGAACGCTGAAGGTTGGACTACAGTGCCCAGAATTCTTTGAGGGAACGAATGTGCTTTAAAGGTATAGCTTGTACCACGCAGCCCTTCTGTGCTCCAGTGCAGTTGTGCTTCGTAACCCACAGATATTACTAGGTTTATTCATGCCCTGTGTTATTAAGGGCTAAGTCATGTCTTGCCCTCTGTAACTGACCCCTATCAGAGGTGGATTTAGGAGATCACGAGCGGTTAAGGTGCAAAGTGAAATTGTACCTTTCCCTTTCAGCTTCCTCGTATGCCTGCGGTATATGAGTTACTACAATTATCCTCTGCCGACGTATATAGAATATCCTATCATCATTGTGCAAGGTAATACATTGCTCCTACCCACCAATATTGCAGCATCATTTGTTTCTCTCGCTCACGATCAACGTTTTTGTTTGTTGTGTTTCAGATGTCATTCTTTTGCTATTTGTTCTGCATTACGGTGGCAAAATGAAGCATGCTTTGCCTTACACAGCCATGTATCCTTTTAACTATCTGTTTGCTCATTTCCATTTATATAGCATTTCTGCCGGTTCTTTTTGTATTCCATCTTCTTGAATGAAGCAACTGTTTTCCAGCACACATTCCTGATGTGATGTGCACATTTTCCAGGTTCTTATTCAGGTGTTTTCTGGTGGATTAAGGTGCGGCATTTGCAATTGATTCACTGTAATGGAATATAAGGACTTTGTGGGAAAAGTTCAGGTCCAGCATGAACAGCCTTTCTTTTAACTCCTGGGATTCTTTTATTTTTAGCTTATGTGCTGTGCTTATAATTAAAATCAAAACTCTGTACCAGGGTAGAGCAACCTGTATAAATTGCACATAAGAATATTTTCATAATTTGCTTATTTTGCTTATTGTCAGGGACAAGGGGTAATTTAACCCCATCCCCTCAAATGAGCACCCTGTCCAAATTCCCATTCTGGGTTCTGGCATGACGAGGCATTGCCTATCTTTTACAGCATGATCTTCATCCTTTTTGGGCCTATGGGTACATTTGGAATTTTGAGTGTGTTTTGGGGACCAGAGCAAAATGGCTGCCTGGGAGGCGTAGCTCACAAGATGGCTGCCTGAGTGGTGTATCCAATCACACAATTTACAGCCTTGGGGTTAGAAACCCTATGTGGTGATTTTTACTAGCTACCTTTGCAATTTAGTAATTCCTTAATTGGCTTTTAATTCATTCCTTAAGCTACCTTGAGAAGCTACATTTCTTGACCTGGAAAGACAGGGTGTAAATGCATTTAACCCAATGATTACAATGCATTTAACCCAATGTCCACCTGATTGCCATCATCCTTATGCAACTTAACCTCAAGATTAGATTTGTGGCAGGATGGTACATGCTAACCCTGCAGAAATGGATAGTGGACCTGGCTATGGTAAGTAGTTGGAAGGAACGCGCCTATTGCCTGGTTTGCACAGCACGGTAAGCCAAACTTTGGCTCACCCAGATTGCGTGAACGCGCAGGCTTCCAGAGGAAAGCTTACAGCCACTTTTGACTTTTTAAAATTCTGCACCACACTGAGCTAACCCAGGTTGGTTAAGCTCTTTCCTTGTTAACCACACGCTGAATAATAGACAGTGGCTACAGTTCATGGTTAGCAAGGAAAGAGCTGGAACATAAGCCCAGGTTCGGATGACACACTAAGCCAAAGCATGGCATAGCTCAGTGTGGCAGGAAGTAAAAAGAACAGGGAGGGGCAAAGTAGATTTGAATTTCTTGCTGCCAGCCCACAAGCTTCTCATGGGCCAGTTGAGTCATAAGCTTGGCATGCACATCATGCTCAGCAAAGTCTCTTTTGTTTAATGCAGTGTTTCCCAAACTTGGGTCTCCAGCTGTTTTTGGACTACAACTCCCATCATCCCTAGCTAGCAAGACCAGTGGTCAGGGATGATGGGAATTGTAGTCTGAAAACAGACCGCAAATTTGGGAAACAATTGTTGAATGGTTCCAGTTCTTGGTGTAAAGTTTTCATGTGTACTGTGGGAAGGTGGTGGACTGGAAAGCCAGAACCTAGTGACCTGGCTGTTGAATGCACCATTATCTTCTCTCTCCCTCCCCCCCCCCTTCACCTGGATTAAGATATACCGTATTTTTCAGTCTATAAGACTTCCCCATGTATAAGATGCCCCCTATTTTGGGGGACTCAAAAATACACAGTCCACCCTCAGCAATATCCATATATAAGATGTCCCTTAATTTTTGACATTATTTTTTAGGGGGGAAACCTAGTCTTATACATGGGAAAATATGGTATATTATAAAACATTTATGCATATTTCTTGTTAAAATTAACTACTCTTCCTGTGGTCACCTGAGGACTAGTGTTTTAAACTGAGCCCCAAGGAGTGTGGAATTAAAAGTGTGTGTGCTTACTAGAGAATAGGCCTCCCATGAGTCAGAAAGGTAAAGGGACCCCTGACTGTTAGGTCCAGTTGCGGACGACTCTGGGGTTGCGGCACTCATCTCGCTTTATTGGCCGAGGGAGCCAGCGTACAGCTTCCGGGTCATGTGGCCAACATGACTAAGCCGCTTCTGGTGAACCAGAGAAGCGCATGGAAACACCGTTTACCTTCCCACCAGAGCGGAACCTATTTATCTACTTGCACTTTGACATGCTTTTGAACTGCTAGGTTGGCAGGAGCAGGGACAGAGCAACAGGAGCTCACCCCATCGCAGGGATTCGAATCGCCGACCTTCGGATCGGCAAGCTCTAGGCTCCGTGGTTTAACCCACAGCGCCACCAGCGTCAGATACGTCTCCCCAATTGCTGGGCATTGCTGCAGCGTTTCTTACTCCTGAAAATCACTCATAGGCTCATTCTCCTGCTGCTTATGGAAAACGAGGAGGAGCTTAAGTGGTCTATGACAAGTGAAACATTTGCTGAGCCAAGCCTTTTTAACAAATTCTTTATTCCATTTCTTGCCTCTATGAGTGTTGAAAGAGCCATTCAGATTGCAGCTGGCTTTCCTAAATTAGTTTTTGATTTTAAATAAAGAGAGCTGAATCTGTACTACTATAAAGTTATACGTAGACTTCACAAGATTGGAGAGGGGCTGAGATTGACTATGTTTGTATTTTAAATGTTTGGGATTAAGCAAAATATACACTCCTAGGTTTGCAATCCTAGCCCCATTTACCTGGGAGTTAGCACCACTGAATTCAATACAACTTATTTCTGAGTAGACGTGGTTGCGATTGAGCCGTCAAGTCTTCAGAAGAAGTTCAGAGTAGATTTAAATCTCAGCTCAAAACTCTCCAAAGCAGCTGATTTATCCTGAATTGGGGCAGTTTTCCACCACACCCACTACTTCCCACTCTATCCCTTTTTCTTCCCTGCAGAACTTAAGCACTGTAATCAGCGCTGCAAGTAAACTTGTGCAGCTTCGATATCTTTGGCGGACGAGAGATTCTGGGCAAGTGAGTGCCACGACTTGGAGTCTAGCCACATATACCTGTGCAAGTAAGCAGCTTCTCAAACTTTTAGCTTTGTTTACTAAATACAAATAAAACAAGCATGCTTAAATTGTATTTTAGTGTTTTGTTGGAAGCCGCCCAGAGTGGCTGGGGAAACCCAGCCAGATGGGCAGGGCATAAATAATTATTATTATTATTATTATTATTATTATTATTTATTATTATTAATTGGATGGCTCTCTAGAGCAGCCAGCATCAGAACATTTTCTAATGCAAATTTGTTGTTTAGTCGTGTCCGACTCTTCATGACCCCATGGACCAGAGCACGCCAGGCACCTCTGTCCTCCACTACCTCCCGCAGTTATGCAAATTACCCTGTGCAAACTCCCACTTTAGTCCCTGCCCCCCCCCCAAAACACACATCCTTGTTTTGATGGGAGCAGCTCATGCCTGAAACAGAATTGCCTCCAAAAATTGTGTAATGCATACTTCTGAGTTTCCTGCTCAAAGGGATTAAAAGTTTTTCGGCCTAATAACATTTTGGAGATGGTTCCCTATATCCTTTTACAGAGAGAAAATGAATGGAAATTGTGGGTGCCATCTGTACTATGAGTGCCGTCTGTCTTTCACCTGCACTGGAAATTCTGCTGGGAGTGGTGTAGAAACTACACCCAGTGAACGAAGTTTACTTAAACGGGCTGGATTTGCTTGCAGTTTTAATCTGAAACAAAATTTTGAATGGCACATGGAAGGAGAAACATCAGAGGAATGCAGAATTATCAGCGAAACATCTTGCGTAGGGGGTAAAAGTGGTTCTAAACTGAGCCATTTCACTTATCTTGGGGAAACCACAGGTTTCAAAAGGCCAGTATATTTGCTTGACGACTCTCCCCTTTTGCCTGTTTAAAGTGTGCTAATATGCTTTCTTTCAATTGCAGCCAGAATATTTACAACAGTAATGACAACAAAGGATGTTACAGGTAATATTGTAATGCCGGGTGATTTGTGTGTCAATTTAAAATTTGTTTCGCGGAGAACAATAAAATAAGGGGTCCTTAACTGGTCAGCAAATACACTGACACATTTCCATCAATAGCGGTAGTGCAGATGGTTTTATGCTACCTGGTTACATAATTTTTGTTTCACTGGCGTATAATTCAGCAAAGACATTTTTTTTGGGGGGGGGGGGGAGACACAGACTCTTGCAAATATCTGGTTTATGCTGTATCTCTTTAGGGGGAAATGCTTGAATTGTTTTCGACAAGCCAGTCTCTTCAGACCTGTTCTTTGCATTTTAAATGAAAGGATTAGAAGCATCTACTGTGGGAATTTGACTTAAAGTCCTCTGCATATAAATTCTGCAATTCAAGTGATTTATATTAATATTGTACTTTCAATATTGATATTGACAAGGCAGGTGGAAATGTACATTCCAATCAATCTGCCACTTTGCAGGCCTGGATGGCAACCGTGTGCTTTGCATCTAGCAGTGCATCTCACAACCGGCACTGCGCATTATGTTGCAGTTAAGGGGATCTGTAGACAGAAGTCGCCTTCCGTGTGTGAATTTTGCCTTGTGGGATGCATGCAAATTAACACAGTTGTCAGGTATTTCAGTAGCTACTGTGAGGTCAGCTTGGCATAGCTGTGATTATACCTGGAAGTTTCTCTTAGCTTCTGGGCTCAAATATTGGCCTTTTAAAACCTTAAAGCAAGGGTGGTTAACCTGCAGACCTATGCTGCTGAATTAAAACCCGCATCAGTCGCAGCCTGTATGGCCCTTGGTCAGGGTGATGGGAGTTGTAATTCAGCAGCTTCCGGAAGGCCATGTATTAGCCACACTTGCCCTTAAATGCTTTGGGGCCAGGCTATATGAAAGACTACCATTTCCCAGGATTGAAGAATTAGCATTCAAAGCCTTGCGCTCTGGTCCGCAAGTAAAAGTGGTTAGGTTAGCATCAAGGACAGGGCCTTCTCCATGGTGGCTCTTTATTTCTGGAATGCCCTCTACAGGGAAAATTGTGTGGCACAGACCTTTAAGAAAATGCTTTGGGGCTTTAAAAAATATTGTGTGTTGTTGTTGTTGTTGTTGTTTTTAGAACTGTTATCTGTAACTGTTTTTAATACTGACAGTTTTTACTGCTTTAAATCATAGAATGTTAATGTTGTCTTCTATTGATCGATCATAACCTGCATCGAGAGTGTGTATCCTATGAGAGACTAACTAGAAATAGAGTAAATTAAGTTACCGTACATACAGTAAAATGGAGGAAAACAAAGCAGTTTTTAACTAAACACTTCCCCCCTCCCACAGTTCTGGTCCGTTTCATAGTCATGATGGCTCTGAATATATGGGTCACAGCAACTATACTGCACTACAGGAAGCCAGCAAAGAAGAGTGATTAAGATGATGTTCTGTCTATTTTAAGTGGTCTGGACCAAAAGGAAGAATGAAACCAATATATGAGACGGTAAATTAGGACCAAAGTTATCACCAAGCTTCAGTAAATCAGCAATCCATTTAATGGGAAACTGCTGGTATTTCACACACTAAAGGAAGTTGCCACTATGAATTCAATAAAAGTTTTGATATTTGTTGGCATGCCTACACTTTTATGTATTTTATAAGAAAATTTTAATGGATTGCCGAATGTGTGCCCATATACAATTATTGAAATACTAAAGCAACTACTTATGCCTCTCACTCTCCCATCAAATATCTGTTGCCCAACTTAAATGCAGCTGTGGTGTCCCTTTTTGTCAAATTCTAGTTCCGTATGATACAAGCGTTGTTCCAGGGTATGAGGTTGTAGCACCCTTAAATGTATTAGTTGCTCTTTTATCAGCCCCTTACCATAAAACTTAATTTCATAGCCGAAGCTTATGTTTTTGAGGTTACAGTGTGCTCTTTCTTGCACACAACTGGAGTTTTAACTCCTCTACTTGCTCAGTAAACCTATTGGTCCTGCCTGCTGCATAGTAAGTTGGTTCTCAAGTTTCATGGCCTGCAATAATAGTTTAGAATAGCTTAGTTTCTTTGGATTGGGGTCTTATTCTTTTACACATCCAACTTCCTATTGGTTCTCAATATCTAATGGGTGCCTGTAAAAGAAACAACAGCCTACATAAATGCTGTAAGCATTTCCAAAATAACTGCAAGAATGGGTTTGTTTTGGTTGAAATACACATTAAACTCTAGGAATATAAACCCCCATTATAAACTTGCCGGAGCTGGGAAAAACAGCTGCTTAGGCTGGCTACCTAGGATTCAGTGGCATTTTTGAATGACAGTTGGAAAAGAGCAGCAATGCTTCGTCACAGTTCAGAAAGCATAAATATACAATCCTTTATTTTGAAAGGCACTTTCGGAAATGCTTCCAAATATGTGAAAGCAAGCAGCCATTCTCTACTTCCCTGTGCAGCAAGGAAAAGGCCAAAATGGTGTTTGAGCTGAATCTGTACAATGCAAATCTATACACCTTTTTGAGCAAGCCAGGCCATGAAAACTTTGTATGATTTGAACCTATTTTAAGTCAATAAAAGCTTTATATTAAACACAATGCTTCTTACATGGTTTAAATCTGTGCTTGGGGAAAATAAACCTTCTGTGGCTTTATCTCCTGTAGCAGTTGTACATTACGGAGGAATGAGTAACATCAATTTAGTCTTAGCACAAAGGTAAAGGTACCAGATAGTTAGGTCCAGTCACAGACGACTCTGGGGTTGTGCGCTCATCTCACTCTATAGGCTGAGGGAGCTGGCATTTGTCCACAGACAGCTTACGGGTCATGTGGCCAGTATGACTAAGCCACTTCTGGCGAACCAGAGCAGCGCACGGAAACACCGTTTACCTTCCCACTGGAGTGGTACCTATTTATCTACTTGCACTTTGACATGCTTTCAAACTGCTTGGTGGGCAGGAGCTGGGACCGAACAATGGGAGCTCACCCCGTCGTGGGGATTTGAACTGCCGACCTTCCAATCGGCAAGCCCTAGGCTCTGTGGTTTAGACCACCTTAGCACCAAGGTACCTTAGCACCAAGGTAGAAGACAGTATTTCAAGGTGTCATTCCTTGGCAAAGTGCCCTGCACTGCGTTATGGGGTAAATGCTACCTAGGAATTCCCATTGTGTAGAAAGCTTTACAGTGTTTAACGTGAAGAGAGAAGACTTACTACAAGCTGGTGTGTGGATGGGGGCTGTTGCCAAGTAGTGCAAATTAAAGAACCGAAGCAATCATAAAACCAATGCATGCTTGCAAGATTCAGTCCAAAGTGCATACATTATCAATGACTTGTCAATTTGCCTCAAAGGGTTTTCCCAATTATACAGGCAGGGAATCCTCCTGGATTGGTGTAGCAAACAAGCCACTCTCTGGATATTAAGAGAATTCCCAACTCTCATCAGTCCTAGCTAGCATGGCCAATGGGGATGATACGAGTTGGGAGTCCAGCAATATCTGGAGCTGGTCATTCTTGTTCTGAAGATAGTTCAGTACCTCATGCCACATTTCCAGCTAGTTCAAGTGCAAAACCTAGCAGTGCCAATGTTTACTCCCTTAAATCAGGTACATTGTGGAAGTTGCGTCTTAAGCAGCAGCCTGTTCTCAGAACAGTGGGATACAGAAAACTACAAGCTAGGAGCATATATGGCAGTGTTATCAACTGCATGACAAACTACCTTTTAGTTTGGAGAAAAGCAAGCAGAGGGAGACACAAGTGGCATATGAAATGATGCGTTTTGTGAAGAAGGTAGACAGATGAGTTGGCAGACTTCCTGTGGCTACTGGATGATGGGCCTTGGGTAGCAGGGGCTCTTAAGGAAGGTATTGTCAGGTACCTTCCTATATGAACATCAATCTATTTCTGCCAAACTTGCGGGGAAATTCCCAATAAAGGTAAAGGTAAAGGTACCCCTGCCCGTATGGGCCAGTCTTGACAGACTCTAGGGTTGTGTGCCCATCTCACTCAAGAGGCTGGGGGCCAGCGCTGTCCGGAGACACTTCCGGGTCACATGGCCAGCGTGACATCGCTGCTCTGGCGAGCCAGAGCCGCACACGGAAACGCCGTTTACCTTCCCGCTAGTAAGTGGTCCCTATTTATCTACTTGCACCCGGGGATGCTTTCGAACTGCTAGGTTGGCAGGCGCTGGGACCGAACAACGGGAGCGCACCCCACCGCGGGGATTCGAACCGCCGACCTTTCGATCGGCAAGCCCTAGGCGCTGAGGCTTTTACCCACAGCGCCACCCGCGTTTCTGCCAAACTTGCGAGGAAATTCCCAATGACTTGCTCAATTTGTGGCTTTTTCTCCAGAACTATCGGACAGATACTGCATCTCTAAACCAGGAATGGGAAATCTCTGGCCTGGGTGGCCTCACCTTAACCAATGAAGTCTTTAAAAATTTGGAAAATCCAATGGTCTTTCTTTTAAAAAATGCATCCATTCAGGGTACCATAGGCAGCTTTGGGAAATTAGATTTAAGAATATGGTCCCCAGTGCTAGAGTCTGAGACTGATGTCCAACTACCATCTTCTGCCAAGAGGGAGCTGGTCCTGGGCCCACCCATTTTCCTTACCTAAGAGTGAGTCCCTGTGAATTAATCAGATCCAAAACGTGATGGTGGCAAAGGATGGTCTACATAGGCAAGAGACAAACAGAACAATCCTGCCAATGTTTACTAAGACCAAAGCTCCATTGTGCTCAATGGGGTTTACTTCCAACAAAATACGCAACAGAATTGTTGTCCAATGCTGTTTTAGGGAACTGATTTGAACTCTTGCTCATGAGGAAATAGGACGTGGCCTCCCCTTCTCACCACCCTTTCCTCAGTGGTCAAATTTGATAGCCGTCCCTTCAACCTTTGGATGTCCCATTATCTTCTGACAGATTGGCTCATACAAACACAAGTCCTGAATGTACCTGCTATTCTTCTGCCAAGCTTCAGTGCTTATGCTATTCTCTGGAAAGGACGTGAATTAATGCTTCTCTCTCCTTTTAATCAGGCACAGAACATCATCTGATCTTTCAAAAGGTGTTACACAAAGCTACTTTTAAACACAGGGAACATTTTGTCCAGCATTGGTTAGCTGATTCCAAGAACTGTTAAAAATGCATTTCCCTATAAATGTATGTAAGCAACATTTTGTCCTTCAGAATTCTAACATAACATTTCTATGCAAGATGTTCCATTTGCATACTTCAATTTATAAAAATCAACTTACCAACATCAGGAATTATTTAGTCTTACTCAAATAGTTTATTTAAAAATATATATATATTTCTTCCAATTCAGAACTTCCCACAAATAACAATTTTATATAAAATATGTATGCCTTCAGTGAATGGAAACAATTTTTATTGTATACATGTTTTAAAAATAAGTTTTGTATGCAAAATATGCATTTTTAAAAATATGCTATACTCTCACTATTCAAAACAAGCAGGTAAAATGATAAACTCCTGCTGTGCCATTGGGGTTAAAGATAACTGAAATGATAAAGGTATATTTTAAATTATGGGATGCACAGCTTCTCATACCTAGTGTGTGTATAAACAGTATAACTGAATATATGGTTGGTGAGTCACAGTGGTTTAGTGGAAAGATGTACTTATAGGCCCATGCCTGTGGATCTTCTTTCCATGCGTGACTCAGTAAAACAAATTCTTACTTATTTCAAGGGGGTTTGAATGAGAGAAGATCCCTGTTTGTAGTGAGCTCAAACTTACTGCATTCTACTGCACAAGCCCTCCTGAAGCAACTGAAAACTAAAGGGGAGTGGGGTCCTGTTTGGTGAATTGTACCTTATGGGTGTCTATTGGGTGGAAATCCAATTTTTTTGGTTGAGATGTTAAATAAATCTTGGTTCTCTCCTTTCAAATATCTACTAAGGAAAACAACCTAGTGAAATGTCTCATTTCCTTCATTCAAATGTTAATTCTGTATTTCATTAGCACTAGCACACAACATATATATGCAAATATATGTAAACATATGAAAAAAAAGAGAGAGAGACCAAGGAGGAGGCTACAATAGTTCTTTTTTCTTTTCCTTTTTTTTACTGCCATCATGTTTTAACATTATAGCATACTGTAGTTGTATAAAACATGCATTTTTCTGGATAAATTATGGACACGGCATTAAAAATCTCACATAAATTATATTTTGTACAAAATCAAATTTTTTTATTAAAAAAAATCTGATTAAGTGCCTCTAAGGCCCTTTCCTCACATATGTTCTCGAAAACACACAACTGAAATTATTTTCCTATTCCAAATGCTATGTGCTAAGAGAACAGGATTCAAGAAGTTTAAAATACATCTACAGTATGTTTCAATCGTTAAGGATTGGTGACAGTCCTTAGATATTGTGTGGTGAAAATGTAAAAATAGATAGTATGCAAAAAACAAACAAAGGCAGAACGATGTTTTGCAGCACTTAGTAAGGGTAATATAAAACCAATGACTAATACTGAGGTTTGTACAAAGGGTGGATGGGAAGTTATGCCTAAGCATGAAAGCTATATATTAGTTCTAATACTACCAGATCATTGTTTTTGAAACCATTACTCAACTGACCCCTCCCTCCCCTCCCCTCCCTATTTCGATATACATTCAGAATAGACTGACATTGATATAAACTATTATATTGTAAACATAGTGCACTATATTGTTCTGCCACAAAGCAAAATTGCATCCTAAGAGCTGGCAAACCTCTGCATCCTTTATCTCTCTTAAATATCTAGAATGGGCACAGATTTAAGGAAATGACATTAATTTAAGGCATTCAAGACTGGTAAAAGAGGACTGCCCATTAAGTAGTAACTGGATATATACTTGGAAGTTATTATTATATGTCGCTGCTGAACACAGACATGCAGCCTTTGATATACAGATAATGAATGGCAAAATTCAACAGTATGGCTTTATACATGTGCATAGTTGCAACTGCAGGTAATGGTATATGAATAATATGTATAAAAAATAAAGTGGAAAGTTTTTTTTTAACCCTCTTGCAGCATTACAGTACAATATACATATTTACACACCAAAACACATACACACACAGTATAATGGTCACTTCTTTAAGATGCCGTCTTCATCAGTGTGCCAGACCCTCCTTACCGCCCTTTTTTCTGGCAAAATTGCTGGTTGCATTTCTCTATAAAAAAAACTGACCAAGAGATGGGTTCATCACGTTTCCCCACTCCTTTTATTCCTCTTGTGACATGTAGTGCGAGTCTTTCCCAGAAAGAATTTGTAGAACAGAATCTGAGAGTCTCCTTGTACTATTCACCAACCATTCCTAACTTGCTCAGTCATCCAGAGGGATTACATTAAAAAAACAACACAGGAATTATTAGTATGTTGTATTGCAGCAAAACACACACACACCTCTGTAAACTTCTTATCTATTTATACTTGAATTGTCTTTCAGAAACACCTATATATATATATTCGTAACCCCAGGAATATGATGGTTCAGTCTTATCGACTCCAATAGTGATAGTATTCATAGGAGGCAGTTAGCTGAAAAAGAATAAAAAATGGATCTGGTCAGTA